CCTCTCAGAAATAACACTGGTAATAAATTCAGGTCTACAATTGCTTCTAGAAAAACTAGGCAAAAAGATCACAATAGTGATAAAAACAATTTTTGTCAAAGGCTGCAAGCATTCTGCAGCTCATGGAGAAGTGCACTGAAAATGAAAATAGATTTCTCCTGCCAGACAACTGTTCCCCCTTTCCAATGTATGTAAGTTTATGATTCCTTCTCAGTTCAAATCAACACTTTAACTGTCCTATGTTACTGGACCAAAGTCATCCCTATGTAACCCAATAAGTTATAGATACAATGAATTTGGCTTTAGTGAAACAGCTCATTTTGTTTAATGCCCCCAACACCAAATCCTAGTTAATAATTATTTCTGCCTCTCTACCCCACCCCAAAAAAGTTTAAAAAATTCTATATGTTTTCACTCAAAAATTGACAGAACCCAGAGGCTAGTACTTATTCAAAATCCGATGTTGCCACTACAGTTTTAGGATACTATGTAAATACAAAGAAACATACAAATTAAATATTACCATGATCTGCAAACAGAAACCTTTGCAAATTCCCAAGACAAAATACTTCCAACCAGCCCGGTCTCCTAACAAAAGCATGTCTGCAGGCAGCCAGGTCTCTGACTACCCAAGGGTCAATTTTCACCCACGTCCAGCTTCCCCAAGCAGACACTTTCTGTGTCATCAGCATTTGTCAGGTAGATGTTAAATGTCTTTTTAAAGGAGTGGGTTGGGACTTGCAATGCTAGGAGTCTAAATTCCTTTAAAAGTCATGGTTTGCAATGCTGTTGTAGCCATGTTGGTCCTAGGATATGAGAGAGACAAGGTAAGTGAGGCAATGTCAGGGCTTCCTTCCCCAGACCCGAAGAAGAGCTCCGTGTAGTTGAAAAGCTTTACCTTCCATCAACAGAAGTTGTGCCAATAGTAGATATTACCTCACCCACTTTGTCTCTTTAAAAGTAGTTGGCAGCTTTCCAGAGAGAGGATATGGGTTTATACTTGGAGTATAGTTTCCTGGATTTTGAGGCAATCCGTTTATATTGGCCACTTGGTTAAGCATGACTTCCAGGCATCCATATACTTTTTTTTTTTTCCAAAAAGGAGTCCATAGTCTTAATGGCAAGGTGCTGGGATTTATTTATTTTTTCCTTACTGACACTGCATGCTAAAAGCAAACAGTGTATAGTCACAGCAAAGTAGAGGGATAGGATTCCATACATGATGCTCTCAGTCTAGTGTTTAATTTAAAAAAAATATATATTACCATGTACAGATACATAATCCCCCAGTCAGTGTGTAGATAAGTACAGAATCTCTCACCGTCTAGAATATTTTTGTTTAATTCATTTTACAATTCATAAAATGAGTGCCCACCAAAAAGTCTATGGGAGAATGTATAAATATAGAAATTAAGAAACCATCATATTAACTCAATCTTCCCTGCATTGAAGAACATAGATCCTTCTCATCAACACCATCTAGCAAAAGCTAGGAGGGATTCAATATACATTACTATGATTCAAGACAGACAAAACCAGCTGCCTACATCTCCTTTTCAGTTGACATAGCTTTATTTAGGAATCTTGCTGCAAATACAACTGGCTGCTCTTTCTGTCTAATGACAGGTTTCAGAGTAGCAGCCGTGTTAGTCTGTATCTGCAAAAAGAACAGGAGTACTTGTGGCACCTTAGAGACTAAGAAATTTATTTGAGCATAAGTTTTCGTGGGCTACAGCCCACTTCATCAGATGCATAGAATGGAACATATAGTAAGAAGATATATATACATACAGAGAACATGAAAAAAGTGGAAGTAGCCATACCAACTGTAAGAGGCTAATTAATTAAGATGAGCTATTATCAGCAGGAGAAAAAAAACTTTTGTAGTGATAATCAAGATGGTCCATTTTAGACAGTTGACAAGAAGGTGCGAGGATACTTAACATGGGGAAATAGATTCAATATGTATAATGACCCAGCCACTCCCAGTCTCTATTCAAACCCAAGTTAATGGTATCTAGTTTGCATATTAATTCAAGCTCAGCAGTTTCTCGTTGGAGTCTGTTTTTGAAGCTTTTCTGTTGCAAAATTCCACCTTTAAGTCTGTTACTGAGTGACCAGAGAGGTGGAAGTGTTCTCCTACTGGTTTTTGAATGTTATGATTCCTGATGTCAGATTTGTGTCCATTTATTCTTTTGCGTAGAGACTGTCCGGTTTGGCCAATGTACATGGCAGAGGGACGTTGCTGGCACATGATGGCATATATCACATTGGTAGATGTGCAGGTGAACGAGCCCTTGATGGCATGGCTAATGTGATTAGGTCCTATGATGGTGTCATTTGAATAGATATGTGGACAGAGTTGGCATCGGGCTTTGTTGCAAGGATAGGTTCCTGGGTTAGTGTTTTTGTTGTGTGGTGTGTGGTTGCTGGTGAGTATTTGCTTCAGGTTGGGGGGCTGTCTGTAAGCGAGGACTGGTCTGTCTCCCAAGATCTGTGAGAGTGAGGGAACATCTTTCAGGATAGGTTGTAGATCTTTGATGATGCGCTGGAGAGGTTTTAGTTGGGGGCTGAAGGTGATGGCTAGTGGCGTTCTGTTATTTTCTTTGTTGGGCCTGTCCTGTAGTAGGTGACTTCTGGGTACTCTTCTAGCTGTGTCAATCTGTTTTTTCACTTCAGCAGGTGGGTATTGTAGTTTTAAGAATGCTTGATAGAGATCTTCTTTTGGAAGTATTAACTCAATATTCAGGTTATTCTCCCTTTTCAATAACTCCTATTTTTCCAGATTATCAAGTGCAATTTTATGTTATCTGTTCAGGAACTTGATTTTTATCTTGCTTCATAGGACAACAGAGAACATATTCACTCATTTTAGGGGTATTATCCTTCCAGATAGTATGGATCTTGAAAATTCCTCTTATCTGTGTTTTTTTGTTTGTGAATCTGTGGCATTTATATCAAACATCTTTAACTTCATGGCTATGCATGTTTTTACACATCACATAGATGGTGCATAGCATTTAGGCCCCTTACAGATAAGAATGTGCTGAAGTGATTTCCTGAATACACTTGGACTTAAGCAACAAGGAATCTGGTGGCACCTTAAAGACTAACAGATTTATTTGGGCATAAGCTTTTGTGGGTAAAAACCTCACTTCTTCAGATGCATAGCAAATAAATCTGTTAGTCTTTAAGGTGCCACCAGACTCCTTGTTGTTTTTGTAGATACAGACTAACACGGCTACCCCCTGATACTTGGACTTAAGCAAATACTTGAGCATTTTCCTGAGTCAGGATCTTATTCTTTGAAAGCTGAACAATGCTGGTTTTTAAAAGTAGTTGTAAAGTTTCTTGCTTTTGCATACAAATTATATATTAGAAAGTTCTCTAAAAAGTGCTGATCCTGTCTGAAGTGTTCTCAGCTTCCCAGTGCATGTCCTGAATATGAAACTCTGTTTTAGATTTCTGTGCCATTTTCTTGACTTCAGTTCTATATACTTTCCTTGGATTAAGCTTGCATCATTATCTAAAATACAGTTTAAAGGATACAATTGCCTTTCAGAAAACCTTTTATTCTTATTTGGATTGCTGGTTTGGTTTCCTTCATTTCTAATTTTCTTTTTTCTCCAAATGAAGCCACACAGACCAGCTGTTCTTTCTGCACCAAGGTCACTTAGAACCCATATCTATGGTTTGAGTTTAAGTTCAGTCTGCTTGTTGTGTTAGTTTCTGCTTGAATAGTAAGTTTGTATACTAGACACAAGTCCATATTTTATTAATAAGTCATATGGCTCTTAAAGTTCACATGTTTGAGCTTTAAGTGATTCATATAGCCCTTGATTATGACATTTAACAAACCAATGTCTAAATCCTCTGTCTTCCTACTCTTGCTCTTATATATCTGCAGTGTTGCAAGGCTCACCAAGGAGAGGAACCTTACAACCATTTCAAGTACTTTCTCCACAACTGCCCCTAGTGGTGGGAAAAAGAGGGGATCAGTTTGTTTATTTTTTTAATGTCAGTTACTTTTTTCCATACATTTCCAAATTCAAAATTTAAGATTAAAAAAAAAAAAATTACTATACCCACTCCCTCCCCTGGTTTTCAACCAGAACTATTGAGAATATTGTCAAACTATTGCTTAAACTAATGCCATTTTTTCTGCAAAGTTTCCTTGCAAATCCAGTTGTGTTGATGGAAGTAATTGTTCCATTGACATAACTTTTGGCACTGTAGATGGTTTAGTAGAAACCCTGGAGTCAGGTTTTCCAGGAGAGGAAGAACATCTCTTTCTATTAACTGGATGCACACCTAGCTCAACCTGAATCTGCTCCGGCTACTGGGACATATGCAGCTCACACAAGACACAGTATCCATTTCACAGCATAGTCACTCCCATAGTAACGTTACATCATTTCATTGTATGGTACTCCCCTAATAATAACTTTATACCCAGCTTTACAATCAGAAATACCAACAACAGCTGACAGTACACGTACATTACTTATCTCTAGATAGGCTTCTTTACCCATTATATGATATCAGTCCTTAGAACACTTGCTGTGTATTTCAGATGTCCTAACGCAGGCACAAGGGGAACTTGAAATTAAAATCAAGTAATTTTATAACTAATATGCATACAATCAACCTATGGAGTTTGTTGCAATGAGAAGTCAAAGTTAAATATAATGTAGCTGTATGTATGAATAATTTATTGGCCAAAAAATAACATTTGCCTAGTGACCACTATTAAAAAGTCCATATTTACCAAAAGTTGCCATACCCATGTAATCAGAGAATTAAGTTATTTCTTTTCTAAGTAATTGCCACCACTTTACATGCCAAGAGGATCTGTTAGATCTTACAGTTTGGAACATAAGTTCATTAACCCTCAGGTGAGGATGAATTCTTCCTCTGTCATCCTCCTTAATATGTCACTGTACAATTAGCTAAGTGTTTTATGGTGTGGTGTTGGGGTTTGTTTTTGTTTTGTTTTGCAGAACCTCCCTCTGAAGCATCTAGTACTAACCACTACTAGAACTAGGAGGATACCGGACATGGTGAACCAGCTCTCCGGATAACAGATGTCTGCTGTGCTGATTAAGCAAAAAGAGGCAGAGAACAAAGCCTGCTAATCTGTGACTGGTATACTTTGCTATTAGTTGGATTTAACAACAAATGGTCATATAGTATATTGTATACAGTGCTTATCTTTTTGAAGACATATTATTTTATAATTCATTTAGACCTGGCAAATCTGAGACTGCATAAGCCACGTGTGCTTGAAAATGTCCATCTGCGAATCACTACTTAAAACCCCCAGAACTCTTCTGCCAAATATTGTAGCGTAAACAGAAATTTAGAAATTTCCTCCTAGAAGAGAAATTGCAACATGTTTTAGTAAAAGAAAGTAAAGTATAAAATATGCAGCCCTATCACCCCCCTACACACACACACACACTTATTGAACTTATATGTTTCTTCCATGTTTAGAAAGATGATATAGTAAAATACCTGATTCTAAACTGTAGAAAGGGCCTGATTCTCACTTATACTAAGGACTTTGTAAACCATTTTGGATGTGCTATAACCCTATGCAGTCATGAAAATTGTGACAGATTACTGGATCAAATCCATCACTGGTCTAACTCCATTGACTTTAGTAGTTATATTAGATATGAATTTGACCCTGTGTATTTAAAAGTGTTAGACTCACCATAGAAAAGGACATGTGTAGAGAGAGAAATCTCTATAATCAAGGGAGCAGAAAGACTTCATCTCAGAATTTAGACTAATTCATAAAAGCAGACTTGGCTGCTATTGGTATTCTGGCACACGGTGCAAGTGTATCAGGAAGTTTATATTTAACAAGTAGCATAACTGATCTAGGAGCCTAATGAAATTGTTCCACTGAAATACAAGATATGTAACCAGTAGCTGTAGGATTTCCAGATCTGGGAATAAATGGCGAGACATTTTTTCCTTGAGACAGTCTTTTTAAGTGAGATAAAATGGGAGCAGATAAAATGAGTGTTTTCAGTGTGTTGATGGGCTGGGGCTTTCCTTAAACTTATAAACTACAAAGAGGTGGACCCTGTGGTTTCCACTGACATTATGCTCCAGAGGCCGGTCCTATCCATTTCAAACTGAGAGCAAAAAGGATGGTCTGTTTTGTTCTGGCATTGAAAGGAATAATTTCCTTTCATTGATCTGAATGGGAAGGGAATCCTTTCCTTTCATTGGCTGGGGAAAATCCTTGCCTAGCCAACGTATTTGAAGATATGATTTGCTACCCAGTGAATGAAAAGACTGCTGTACCTGGAATAACAATACTCTGACGGATGGTGTGATTCAGAGTGCTAGCAAGAGCAGTGTCTTGCTTATTCCTGGAGGTCTTAAGAAAATCTTCTGCCTTTATCTGTGTGTGGGAAAACAAACATCATTTAATTATTCTAAGATTAGCATGTTGTGCTGATGAGTTTGACAGCAGCTGCTAAACCTCATTTTAGCTGCTTCCCCACTGCAGGATTGTAGAGTTACTGCCTTTTCCTTTTATGTAAGTATGGAAGGAAGAACACACTGTGCCAATCAATTTCAATTTGGCCTGTGCTGAAACTAGTTAGAGTCAAGGGGCTTGTGCTTCCCCGGAATGAAATGCTGTCATGGAAAATCAGGTGCTAAATGATTTAGTCAGAGCTCTCAAACACACAGGGATATAAAAGCCTTTAAAGACTGAATGTTTTCTTTTCTGGGGACTCACATTAAATGAGGTTTGACCTACAACTGTTTAGGTTTGGGAGTAACTAATTATTGTGCATGTGATGGTTGTGGATGCAATCAGTAATGACAAGATACCTTGAGGTTTTATTAGGTGGTACAAGGTATGGGTCTACCCTGAAGGGCCTGTCATCCGAAGGGAATGGGGGAGGGGTGTAGGTAGTTCCAGGATGTACAGTATGTCCAAAGAGTAGATGGTTGAAAGAAAGGTTTCTGGCAGTTTGCAGGAAGAATAGTGCCCACAGTACTTGTGATTTCATATTTCTGAAAATAATTTCCTCCTTTGCAAGCAAACTGAAACTACAAGGCTTGTATTTCTACAAGGCTGACAGTTTCTTGGGCTCCTGTGAATCTGTGCTGCACTGATGAAGTCCAGGAGAGGCCCAACATGTGTCTGTGGTTGCTGTTTCTGCCTTTGCCTGCCAATCATGAATGCTAATTGCTTGCACCCTCCGCCTTTGCTGAGGAGTCAGCATTACTGAGCTAATATTATGGCAATGTGCATATGGATAGTGTTACACATGGGAGAGCTTTACAATTTTATTCTTAAGAGGCAAGGCAGTAACCTTTTGGCAGCTTGAGGATCCACCTGAGTGGAGGTAATCTTGTGATATGTATAGTCTGTGGTACCAGGTTGACAGATGGGTGGGCTGTTGTATGACCTTTAAGTTCTTTGTTGAAGTGCAGAAAAGAAACCTGCAGCATAGGAAATAATCATTCACCTATTTTGTAATAGGAAATGGTTGGTAGGAAGCCTAAATGCCTAACAATAGGTGGTGGATCTGCTTGAAAGAACACAGTTTTTATTCATTAAGATAATAATCACTAATGGAAATTCATTTGGTTTTTAATGGGCTGTAAATTAAATGATTCTGGGGAATGACAAGGCCATCAGAATTCATTACTCAAAATGTCTTTCAAGAGAAAATAAGCAGCCCAGAGAGTGTGTTCCAGGCCATCTGCCTGGTAGAGGACAGGCTTCAGCAGGCGGCCATAACAACGACCTCTGAAGAAGGAAAAAATATTAATAATTACACTTCTTGACAGTTTGTTCCACACACACACACACACACACACACACATACACACACACTACTTTTTAATCATCAGAGAAAGGCTGCTCACAAAGCAGTTAAAAAAAAATCCGTGTGTGCCATCAGGAGCCAAATTCAACCACAGACTGCATATGTCATGCCCTTTAAAGGTGAAGGGCTCAGCTTTGAACCTTCCCACTAATTGGTGATGCTGTGCTCACTCTTCTGATGTCAGCTTTTTTCATTTTCTTTTGCAGCCATCACCTGCTGCTTCATCACTGGTTTAAATGCATAAAACAAGATGCTAAGTAAAATGTTCCCTATAAAGGGAGTGATCTTTTGCAGCTGTGTTTCCATGTGGGATGAGGCTGAAACCTGTCCTTATGGCCATCGTCTTCCTAATGGGATAGTTTCCCATTCCGTTTTGTCCGTAGGTCTTTTCCCATGACATTATTTATGCGCACATCACCCTCTCTGAAGTGAAACTGCAGTTTTCTAGTGCCTTGGGTGGTCTCTTAAGGAAAAGAAAGTGTAACAAAAAAGTACAACTATGTTTTTCACAGAATGACCTCAGTTTTCATATGTGTTGTTTTTTTAAAAATTTAAGGGTTTAGTTATAACAAGGGAAAGATGATATTCCCCCTGTGACTAACACACTACATCATTTTGGATTTGAAGCCTGTGTAAAGCTGCTGAACTATTTTTTTTTTCTGGTTTGCTCAGCTCTTGCTTTGTACTGGGAGGAATTTTAAATCTCCACAATAAATCACATGGAAAAACATTCTTCCGGGTTCATGAAAAATAAGTGGATAACTGTTAAAGTACTTAAAATGAATAGTTTTTCTTCTGAAGCTCTGTTTACTTGTGTAGCAGGATAGTGCAGTAGTAACTCTTAATACTGCATTGCTTAAGCATTAGATACTTATATTAGCTTACACTTTTGTGCATGGAAGTAAACCAGTAATTCACCTTTCGTCAGTGTCTTGATATTATTTATATATCTTAGGACCTTAATGAATGACAATAGTATGTGATACTGGACAAGTCACAGCAGTTTTTTCCAAAGTGGGTACTGCGATTGGTTGGTTATGCTTAGTTTTGTGTATTTCCCAGGGCACTCATACAGATTTCAGTGTGCACTTCAAAAGGTGTTTCAGGTTGTTAGAAAAAAGTCTTATTAAAATTTGTACTGTTCCCTAGGGAGACCTGTATAAGAACTGGGCAGCAAATGCCATTTTAAATAATGTTATGTGATCCTTAGAGAGATGAGCTATTCAAGTATTATCTTGATGCCAATTAAAAGAATAGACTAATTTACACTTATATTGGACTACTTATCTGGGGATCTCAAAGAATTTCACAAAAATTAATGAAGCCTCACATAGCATTAGCTCTGTTTTTCCAATTGGTAAATAGAGGATCCCCAGAGAGGATCCAATATTTTCAAAAATGATCATTAATTCAGTTTGTCTCCTTTTTCAGAAGCTCAACTTGAGCCCCCTACTGCTTATCTAGACAGTACCAGCAATGGAGACGGACACAGAACAGCAGCAAAATACCAGCCTCCTATAAGTAGTGATTCTAATTCAGTCTTGATTGACATTACAGAATTTTAAGGGCCTCATGCAACAGTAGGGCTAGTTTTGGAATGAATGCAGGACCTGCCATTGGTAGAGAATCAGTATTTCCAGAAGAACCCTCAGCATTTCTGGTGGGAGGAGGTCAAACTAAAATAATGTGGACCCCTAGTTGTGGCAGCTGAGTTGCAACACTGAGCTTAATAGGCAGATGAGATGTGATTTCAGCGTGAACACACAGAAAATGGGACAAATTACACTGATGAGATTGTACTAGTAACTTGTGAGGTGTTCAGATGAAATCCCTGATCAGACAATAGGTGTGCTGTTTGCTACCCTTCAGAGCAGAGAGAGAGTTAGAAAACTTTCATCACTACATCACCTTTCTATATCTATCTTTAAGCTGTTATTTAAGTCTTTTCACAAAAGTAATAAAAATAGAATTAATGGGAGCATACCATAAGACAGGAACCTGTGCTTTTAGTGTCATTCTACCTTATAATTGCTGAGAGCAATGAAAAAAAAAACACCTCTCTTAGAGAATAGATTGTATATAAGGCTAAGTAAAAAAAAAAAAAAGTCCACTAAACTTGGAATATAAGCTTTTAACCCATGTATCCCTCATGCACTTCTTTGAAATGTAGAATCAGGTTATTTTGCCTTCCTATCCAGCCCCATAGAGGCAGGTGATGTAGCTACTTGGAGCTTTTATTGAAAAACTTCCCACACAACTAGGGGGTCACCAAA